AGTTTCGTTTCGGGAAATCGAAATGTACACAAAGATAAAAATATTTTAACTGGCCAGAGATGTAATACAGAAGTCACACTCCTGCAACAAAACCTCCAGCCTACTGGGGCAGTTGAGAAGTCTGGCACTAGTAATAGTAATTGTGGTAAGGAAGAGGAAAACATAAAGCGAGATGACAATAAGAGTGATAACAAATCGTGTGTAAGGAATATGAATTGCGGTTTTTAAAAATATACCATCATGCATGGTCTTACCCCATTTGGCAAATATAAACTAAAATAATATAGTAATACGTATTGCTCGATCTACACATATCAGATTATTGTTATAACATCTATTCACCAACATTAATAATAATGCTCAGACAGTTTTCGAATTAATGCAACTTGTATAATAATAATAGCACTCCTAAATGAAACGCAATACAATGATACTGTTATTTCTCCAATAAGAGTTTGCTGATGACATTCAAACTTGAAAACACGATAGTAAAAGTATATATACGTTTAAATTAATATTGCCCAAGTAAACCTGTCACCTCTGTAAAATATCTATTACTACTCTCTCCTCCTGTATCTGTCTCTCTAACCTCTTTATCTTCTTTCCCGCCTCTCTCTCTTCTCCTCCTTCTCCAACTGTTCTCTCAACAACTTTCTGTCCTCCTCCCACCCTCTTGCCAAACGGTCTAATAACTCCATCTGCTTTGCACTCTCCCCCTCTTTTACCTCCCGCACCACCACTGATGCTTCTGCTTCCCTCAGTCACTTTTCTATCAGGTGCGGGCCTTTACCACATTGGTCTCATCACAAAGGATGAGATTATCTGCGGTTGATGCAAACTTCCTTGCATCTTCTGTGAAGGGTCCCCTGTGGATCTAGCAGCACCATCACTGACCCTTCTGCTTCATTTCTATCAGTGCCGGCTACTGCTCGAACAATGTCAGCATCTATATAAAAAATAAACAGTAAGTCAATGTCGAGGTTAGTCTTTATATTGTTTTTTCTGGTCGAATGAGATAATATTTTCGATTCGAATATGTTATTATTATTATAATTAAAATTATATTAACTGATTTTCCCAGTATGATTCTTGCACTGAAGTAAATACTGGGTTCTGTTGACAGTGGCCATGAGGTCGACATCACCATCACCATTCGAGCTAATAACGCAAAAAAAAATAATTTTTTTTTGAGTATTTGTGTCATAATAGTCAAGATCAGAAACGAATCTCAATGATCAATATATATATATCCTATTCACCACAGCCAGAGTAGGATTACCAAACCATCTTGATGGCTTTTCAGTAACAAAGAAGAACAGCTATTCAGACACCATGTAACAAGGACCCTAAAGTGTTTCATATGTATCCTATTCACCACAGCCGGAGTAGGAGAAATTACCATCTCGACAGTTTTGTCAGTTACGGAGAGTTGATATATTTGCACCCCTTATGGTGCTTACCAAAACTCCGATTTACACTTAGTGGCAGCGTACCTTCAGACACATACACAATATGGTCAACCTGAACACACAGTGACTTGCAAACTGTCACATTTAATTCTTCGATTTACACCTAGTGGCAGCGTACCTTTGGATATAATAACCATTCTAAAAATACTCAGTGAGATACTCACCCATGCCTTCTGAATGTGCAGATTCTGTGCCATTTGAGGATTCTATTCATGGCAACCTTGTCTCGTCATTGGTTGGTGCTGGTCACTGCTACGCTTGTCTTTCTTTTCTTACCATTTTTTAGACAGTAGGTGGATACTGGAACTGGTAATTTTGATAATCTTTGTGATTTATGCAAGATAGTAGTAGTGTAGTAGACCATGGAAATCATCCAGAAAAACGGGAATCGTTGATTTTGAGGCTACTACAACATACCATAATAATAAGACTAATTATTATTGTGGGAGAATCCTGAAACCATGATCTTTCATTGGTTGATCAGATTTTATTCTCTAACTGCATTGGTTAGAGCGGATAGGTGAGGAAATTTTCTCCCGCGTCATTCCATCCTATCACAAGCATCTTTGTAAACCCAAATGAATAATCTTGCCACTATGCTAGTAAAGAATACTAGTTTACATCTTATAATCTGTAATGTCAGATAGGACTGTCAGCAGTCAAATGCACCCTATCAAATAAATAAACGACTTGCATTTTACTGTATAATTATCTCAATATTCAACTTTTTCAATGTATCAACAGTAGATGGGGGCTTAGGGGGCTTAGGGCATATTATATTCGATCGACATGTGAACGCATCCATATTAATATATCACTTGTCTCACATAATGTAGTCGAGACGTAGAAATGAACAGTTGTGAACATGACGTTCACCATCGCAAAATCTAACATTGTAGAGAAGGATAATAATAATGTCAGTACAATTAATACTTTGAGTTTTCGTCCTTATTATTATGTAAATAGGTTCTGTTTGCCACTACAAAAATGTGATTTTTACAAAGTGTAAGCACAGCCACATTTCTATGAATTCCCATGGTCAATCATTCACATACACCAATTTCTAGATAAGGTAATAATGTATTACAATTACACAGTGAAACTCGATAAGTCGGACACAACTGGCTGGGCATGGCTGTCCGACTTATCGAGAGGCCAATAGGATTCATTGTAACACAATTTCCTTTCATGTTATAAGATGTATTCAGATAATTTACTTATTAATAAACAGATATAAAGATGAAAACTTTGCTATTACTATTGCTTATTTAAATAAATGTCTATGCTAGTTTGCTTTAACGAAGTAACTTGTTTTCTACTGATTTCCATTTTAAATCTCTTAATCCTGAAACAAATTGACTATTCACTTCTATGTCATTATTCTGTTCCAAGTAATGATGCAGAATTTGAATGCTTTCTAAAGCAACTTTATTTAATATCGGTGAGTAACATGACTTTTAAGCTAAATGACTGATTGGATAATCCGCTACTAAATTGGTAAAATTTTTGTCAATCTTTATACAAATCACGTGAATCCGACTTAGCGAGAGTCATTTACTACTATCTGGCTGGAAAGGTTGTCCGATAAATTTTAAATATAAAAAAATAAAGGCTGAGTGGTTTTGTCCGACTTAAGCCAAATCCGACTTACCGAGTGTCCGACTTATCGAGTTTCACTGTACCTAATAAACTATCAAAAATCGAAAATCATGCGTGGTAAATTTTTTATAGTACAGTAATCACCTGCTTACCATTAAACATACATATGACAAAATATTTTTATTAGAATGCGATTTTTACAAACACAAACTCACATTTAATATATTGTATAGTCACATCGTAACAAGGAATTTGGCATAGTCGTTAGGAACTTCTATGATCCATCTTTTGTGACGTCAAAAGTGTTTTCTTTTTACTGTAGCTCCTAATTATGTATTATAATTATAATAATAATGTGATTCTTTAATGGGTGCAACTGCTAAATTGATACTTGAGCGTACATTGAATTTAATTAACAACAATAATAAGGTTTGAGTAGAGTATTACTATTACATATTAATAAAAAAATTCGTAAGATCATCGGGTTATATTCGATTATAATTGTCCGATACTAGTGACATGCGAATAATGCGAATGATAATAATGTTGGAAGCAATTTCTATGCTACTGTTGTTATCGGCACTTCCTTCAGCAGTATATCATTAATCAGAAAGTTCAGCATATAACTATATAATCATCGTGGTATAATTGTAAATTTTGTAAATTTTGTGCAAGTATTTCGTACTATAGTTCATATCCTCGTGCATCATTGATATTTGGCAAGAGTGAATGATGAAGAAAGCTTGCGATTACGTTAAAATGTTGGGGACTTGGATAATATAAGAACGCGAAGATATTTAATGTTCCGTATTAGTTAGTCGTGGGCGCATTCGAATGCCACAGTTTTATGTTACAGATTGCAAGTCTCGGTGACTATCAATATTAAAGTCCCGCGAATAAATATTAGATGAGCTGAATAGAATATTGTTTGCTAAGAAAGCTAAGATTGCTTATCACTATTACTATATATCGTTTCACCATAGTAGTTCAATGTCAACAATTTTCGATATTATAATAATAATAATGGGAAATTAATTAATTATAATTATTGCAAACGTCAATATTAATATATTACTATTACCGAGTTATTGTTATTATTGCATTATTATAATAATTACAAGAGCGTATATACAAATAAATATACATTTACACATTATTACTCTATGATCCCCCGTTTTTGGGTCAGTCGTTTCTCCAATACAGTTTAATTCTATCACTTGTCCAGGATGAAAGTTCTGTTAACACTTTATTAATTGCAGCTTCTGGCAATGTATCAGTATACTGAAACAATTGGTCAAGTATAGTTTCTCTTCCTTAGTAGCACGGCGTACTCGCTTTATCGGATCGGTCATTGTTACTGATGAAGTATCACATTGTGTGGTTGATGGGTTAGCTGTTCTTATATTATTTTGTTTTTCCCTTGCCTCGAGTTGAGCAGGTGTATATGTATTTACATTTCGTTTACCATGCCCGCCAGTAGTTGCTGACCTTCATAAACGTCTTCGTCAATTATCTGCTCAAGGCGTAATTCAGCAGGCTTACATATATATAATGAAAAAATGTTTTGAAAACCATTCTCATTGTATTCAGGTACACCATCAAATAAATTTTGCATTGTGGGATTGGAGTAGTTGGACTCAAAATTTGCAAATGCTGATAACAACTTCATGATCAAAGACTGAACCAAACCATTATGTGAATTATTTGCATGGGTGTTTGGATTGGCCACAGCATCACCAGTGCATTCTGCAAGAAGCAGTGATAGATAATCTCATTCACTTTGGGCTGCCTTGATTTTTGTCTGTCATCAACAAGGTTTCCTGTAATATTTTGTTTGATAAACTTCACACCATATATTTCAAGTGCCTTATCAAATGCAAGATAGTGTCCTTCACGAGTAATATTCACTGAGCATACCATCTTTAACAACTCCTGAAGTTGTACATCATCACAAACTTGTGCTAAAAAGTGCAACACAGAGCTTGCATGTCTGTACTTTCTGGCAGCAGGAAAAAGGGGTGCAAATGCAGCCAGATTTGCCATTTGCATCATATAATTCCCTTTTCTTGTTATTATTCCAATCTTGTGTCCCACAAAATATCCAGTCCCAGTGGAAGAACGGATACCATACTTTCATCACTTGATTATCACCCATCCCAACACCCTATATTAATTCTATTACGTGACTGGTTACCTGATAATCCACAACTTTATTAAGTATTGTACACCTAGATCTGCTACAATGTTAAAAATACTGTAGCTTGAAAATATTTTAATCAATGCACCCAACGTGGGCCTTAGATGTGTGCCATTGCCCCCTAGAGAAGTCATACATCATTATGTTGTTTTTTATAGGAGATCAGTCTCCCATAAATAGCCTGATAACAAACAATATATAATTTTTTATCATTGCTGATTTGTAACTCGCTCCAATACATTTCACATGCAGCATGAACATGCTCATCATTGTTTGATGCTTTACCAGGTTTCAATATCACAATATGTGGATCTAGAATAGGTATATCATCACTGATTTTTGAATGTAAATGTTCCAAGTTAAATACTGTTACGGTCGGGTGGTCTGGGGTTTGGGAGAGCAATTAATCTTTCGCGTAGGGTTGTTCTTCTGACCGGAGGATGTTACCAGATTAGCTTCATACTACCGCCCTTAATACGGTAGTTGTTCAATTAAGACTGAATTCTAATCTACAAGTGACCTATTTATATAATTAAATT